CAAACGCATAACACTTTTTAACTCAATTCAAAGGTGAAGGAAGTCTTTTATGCATAATATATAGTGGTTTGAGAGAGAGAGAGGGAGGGAGAGGGAGGAAGGGAGGGAGAGAGAGAAATCACAATAGGGAAACCTACCTATCCAACTGCCTATTTAATTGAAATCGTGTCTACGGGTGTAGTATTTGTAGAAATTTTCATAATATTAAACCTTATTAAATATGTCTGAAACGAAAAATATATAAAATAATAATATTATGATTACACTTACAATAAACAGTATGTTTTATGTGCATAAAATTGAAGTCATCCCATTCCTCCCATACCTCACATAATATTCACTTTCTAGTGAAGAATTTGGGTCTTCTTCTCCTCCTTCAGCTCTCTCTCTCTCTCTCTCTCTCTCTCTCAAACCACTATATATTATGCATAAAAGACTTCCTTCACCTTTGAATTGAGTTAAAAAGTGTTATGCGTTTGAATTGAGAATAAAAAGGCAGTCGAGTCTCAAATAATTGAACCAAACGTTTTAGCAGTTATTTAGTGATTTGGTTGCAATTTTCTCTCATTTATAATCACTTGAAGTAATCCATTGTCTGATCAGTAATAAGTTTGTGTTCACTATAGACAGTGCACTTTCTAACACTTAACTCGGATTTGTTTGGGAAAGTAGTTTTAATTTCAAATCACAACTTAAGAGAAGTACAAAAACAATTGTAGTATTGTATTATTCAACGCTTAACGCGTTGTTTATATCATTTGTTTTCTGATTAATATATTGTGTCAACAATTTATGTTTTAAAATGTTTAATAGATATTCAGTTATATTAATTATTTTATATTTATCGAGTGTTACCGTTGATTGTCAAAATCTCCGGGTAAGTTACTACTGATACTTAGTTTTAAATATGCTGTAAAAATAAATTGTTTTCTTTTAAATAATTTAAATCCATTCATATTATACAAATATTTAATGCAAACATTTTTTACTATCGAAAGTTAGAATTTTTTAAATATTTAAAGTTGATATTTATTAATATAAATAATAGCTAGTTTTATAATCAAAATATTTTAACAATTATCGCAATTCTTTAGTAAGAATATAGTAATGCTGTAATACTTTATTTTAGCACTAAACAAATTTTTGATTAAGATTGCCCTGTTTATTGAATAGAGTACCACTACAGTATGAACTTATAATATTGAATGTCCATATTTATTATATTGAGCCAAATGTCAGATGCTATAGACTCGATTCAATGCCCTGATATAATGCCAACTAAACCGTGAATTATGCTAATTTTAACAATTCTTATTCTGTATATTATATTATAACACAATTTATACATGTTTTGCAAGTGTAACCTATGTTTCATATAAGTTAGTCTGACTTTCAAATAACTGACTTCTGTTATTCTCCATTCAATGCTAATTCAATGATAATATTATCATAAGAAGTGATGTTTTAACACATATAACACATATCTGTAGGAAATTAATTCTTAATGTTTTCACAAGTTTTATTATTATACATAAAATAAGCGATTAAATTTAACACTAGTTTTAAAAATATTGTTTTTATCTAATTAATGAAAACAAATGATAAAATTCAAGGATTATAATCACATTCAGTGAAGTTTAGAAAAGTAAATCTGTTGACACAAAAGGATTTGTGAAACAAAAGCATAAAATATTTAAAATTTTTAATAAATTGGTAATAATTGCAAAAATACATATTTGTATGAATCTAGACTAAACGTCAAGGGGTCAAAGGTCGTCCACCAGCGCCTATTTATGACACCCAGGAGGACATTAGTGATGTGGGCGCTCCTCAGAGGACTAGACCGTCAGTTCCGCGACCACGACCTCAGCCTCAACCTCAGGAGGACGAGGGAGATGTGAACAGCGCTGATGGCGAGGCTAACCCCGAGCCTCCCATATATGGAGGAGTAATGGGAACGCCTGGCGTTGACTTTCCCGGATACACACAAATACCCAAAACTGGGTTCACGTGCTCTGGTGTTCCCTTCGAGCCGGGAATGTACGCCGATATGGAGACCCAATGCCAGGCCTATCACATGTGCTTTCAGGGCAGGAAAGAGAGTTTCCTGTGCGGTGTCGGCACTGTCTTCAATCAGGCCATACTTGGGTGCGATTATTGGCATTCCGTCGACTGCTCTAAAACTCCTGACTTCTACTCTATTAACGAAGAATTAGGTAAAGAGTTTGGGTTTTGAGTTAAACGACAAGAATTTTACCAAAACCTTTAAAATTACATTTTTAGGTAAAGCCGGAGCCGAACCGGGACCAGGAGGTGCACCACCAGCTTCTGCAGTACAACCGGCTCAACCATTCAGACCGGCACCAGCTCCAGGACCAGTACCCCGTCCCAGACAGCCATCACCAGCTGTTTCCCGACCACAACCGCCGCGAATACCGTCACAACCCGTTCAGACTCAAGAAGAAGACGTGGACTACGAGTCGCCACAAATACCACAGCCGGCGCCACAGCCCCGACCCAAACAACCCATCCCACAGCCACCACCGCCTCAAAAACAACCACCGCTGCCGAGACAACCGCCCACTAGACCTCAGCCCCAACCCCCTCGCTATCAGCCGCCACCGCCCGCCACCAAAGTTCAGCCGGCAATCTCTCAACGACCTCAACAGCCCTTTAGACCGGCGCCGGTAGTGCCCCAACGACCTCAACCCCAGCCTCCACGCAAAATACCACAACAAAAGCCATCCCAACCCCGACAACCAGTTCAGAGACCTCCACCGGCACCTCTGCCACGCCCAGTGCCTCAACCACGACCAGCACCTGTGCCCCGTCCAGTCCCGCAGCCACGACCAGCACCGGCGCCCAGACCTATAGCTCCCCGACCATCCGGAAAGACATCGCCTGCGCGTCCCGTCCGACCCCTACCCCCACCACCGGAACCCCAGCGACCTATTGTGCAGACTAGGGATGAGGAGCCGGTAGATGACAGTCAACAGTCGTTTGACTATTAAATTTAACTTAATATTGTGTCGAAAGTGTTGTCCCACTACTGCCCGCCCCGTCACTCAGCCGACCAGTCATTCGTAGATTTTATATATAATAATAATAATGTGTTTAATATTTTCGCAACACTTTGTGTAATAATGTATTTGAATATGGATTCGGTATAAAACAAAAGTCTTTCATTCATTGTATATGGAAAGAGAGAGTTGTTTTTGAAGCCTTTTTTGTTACATTATTTTTATAATATTTGTACTTTAATTATGTATTTTATTTTATTTCTTTTAATTGTTGTTTAAGTGCTGTTAATGTATTGTGTCATAAAGTATTGATAACTGTTTGAAAGAGAGAATAAGAGAGAGAACACTTTTTAAGTGCCTGTATATAATGGCCAACTATTTAGGTCATTGAAACATTAAATAAAACAAATTTTTATACTTTCTATGCCATACTCATATGTTTTTTGAAAAATATTAATAAAACGTCTGAATAATAATAACGATGAACTGAATGCAGAGATTCTTTGTGTGCGACTATTAATCGTTTACTTAATATTTTATACATTTTCTAACTAAATATTTTTAAGTTTTAGTTTTATATATGTTATGCAAAACACTTATTAAGTTTTGTTGCGAACACACATTAATTAGTTGTATTTTATTTCATTAGTTATATAATAGCATACAAAAGTAGTTTCTATTGTATCAGCATTTTTTATTCATTAATTATGAAATTTTGAGGAATCTTTGCCTTTTATTAAATAGTATTTTAACCAAAAGTTGTTAAATAAAAATTTTATACAAAGACTTAAGAGTCTAAAAATATCATTAAATCTGCAGACAATTGTCTTAATGACTAATTTTTATGGTGACTACAAATATAAGCGCACGTAAAGGGAGAGACAGCTAAATACCCACCTATTTATTTTAATAAAGGAATTCATTCATTTCCAAGAAATTAACTTTTATTATTATTATTGTCTGGAATTCATAAAAGTTATAATATATTATAAGGTAAAGTGCGAAATATATTTATAGCATTAGACAAAAAACAATAAAACACATTATCATTTGCCACACAAGTGCCAGAATTACTAGTATTATAAATTACATACAATTCACGAATATTCTGTTCATATGATAAGTCAACCGACGGGTTGGGGGTCGAAGCGATAGAGTGTTGAGTCAATGGGTGGCAGGACTCCTATGCGGGCGTTCAGGTAGTAATAACGGGGCGATGAGGGACAGTCCACGTTATACCACCAATCACAGGTCTGCACTTTCTGGTGGAATAGTGTGCTGTTTGGACACAAGAAACTATATTCACGACCATCCGGCTGACACACGTGGAACACCTATTAGTTATGAATTATATAATAAATAGTTAAAATGTTGTTGCTCCTTTTATTTTTTGTATTTTTTAGTACTGTACTTGTATATCTCAGTTAATTACTTTTCAATCAATAAATTGCATAATTGTATCTGGTGTCTTTGTAATCAATAATATATTCTAGGATATTATTATTTTATCTAGGTATTCTCATACTTATTTTTATGGTGACTTATTATAACTTACTTAAAGTTAATGTAAAACAATAAAAATATTTATTTTGTTAATAATAATATGATTTCATAATATTGAGCGTTTAAACAGGAAATGTATTTAATATGGCTATCAATCCTTACAAATGAATAGATTTTTTCGTAAATCAATTTACGTCCAGACATTTAGACACAAATTTTTAAATAACCGAAACACACGACTCTATGGCATGAAAAGTAAAGGCCATTAAATAGACCAATAAATTTCAATTGAGTGCACAGAATATAAGCATTAAAAAACTTATTGATTTATTATCTAAATATTAAATATAAGTATTGAAAACTTTATGATATCACGAATGGGAGCGTTATTTGTATTGTGCTGTCATTACTTTATAAGACAAATACTTTTTGTTTCAAGAATTACACAATAATTTTTATGAGACCTGTAGTTTGTATTGCTTTCAACAATAAAATACAATCATATTTTATTTGCTTTGAATATCTTTTTAATATTTATAGCAAATAGCAGTGTATTTTGTAATGTAAAACACATGGCATTTAGTAATTTAAACAATGATTAATGATCTTGGTCTTAATTTAATATAATTAAAAATGGAGAGAGAGAGAGAGAGAGAGTATTGTAAACTTATTTATTTTATTAATTAGAAATATAACAATAATTTTATTTTTACTGATTTTTAAAATCTCATATTATTACCAATAACTGGAATAATAGTTTATGAAAAATAAATTTTTTAATTTCAAAAATAATTTAAACATACTATAGTACAGTAGAGGCTTTGCAATAAAATTTAAATATTTTATTTAATCATTTTTAATGTGATTTTAAATGTTTGAATGAATATTCAGTAAGTTGAAAAATTTGAATTTAAATACTTAACAATCGATCATATAATTTATATTTTATTTGATATGATTTACTGTTTAGGTCATAGATAGGGAGATGTGGGATGTTGGCTTATAAATACATACAGTACTTATAAATTATACATCACTTATGTATGTTTATCTATCTATGTTTCACTTATAAATTAATTGTAATTACTTTATTAATTTTAATTTTAAAAAAATAGAAAGTGTTTTAAATTAGAAGATTTAGCTTAATCTCAAATTTAACAATTAAAATAAGTTTGACTTATAATCTTAAAGTCTTTATAGAGTGTTAAGTTTTCTTAATTTGAAATAATTTATGCTTTACTGTACAATATTTATAATATGAAACACTTTTATCAATAATTTTGATTATTATAATTAAATTACAATTTTTAAATTAAGATCAATGCATGATGTGAAAGGTTAGGAATTAAGCTCGTTGGATTTGATAAAAGCATAACTTTATGATAAATCATAAAAATTTTAATATTTTTGTATAAAATATAAATAATTGAAAGCAATCTCCATTAAATAGTTTAATAGAAAATCAATTTGTTACCTAAAGCATATTGAAATCACTAAACTTTAGGTTAATATCTAACTATTTAATATAATTATAACGTATGTGTGAATAATGATAAGTATACAGTATATCCCATACGTCTAACACATATTTCATATGCTATTGTTTTGAACAATAACTGAACACAAAACCTATCATTTCATATGAATGCATACAAATTTATGAAATGTATTCACAATTCAAACATTGAAATTTTCAATTGAAGTGCATTTTGTAGGCAAACAATTATTTTGTTATATTTTTGTGAAATATTTTCTTGTTTTGTTTCACTTGTATTGAAAATCTGTTCATCTGTTTGTTATTCTTCAACACAAACAAGTGATTGAAATTCAAATCATCACTACTTTTGTGCTGACATTGAGTTCACACTATATTTCTGTAGTATATTTGAAAACACAATATTAGAAATTTTTTTTGAATACAATTCAAATGTTATTATTGTCACATTAATTTATGCATCTCTCTCTCTCTCTCTCTCTCTCTCTCTCTCGCAGTGACACAAAGTCTTTAGACAACAAATACTTTAGTTTACACTTTATTCGAGTAATTCTCAAAAAATAATTCACTTTTAAAACAATTTTGAAGCAAAACTACAAAACTTATTGTTCGCTACAAAACATTCAATACTCAATCAAATGTGAAAAGCAGTCAATTCATGAGAAAAACGAAAAGCTATTCACGACTTTGTATAATACGAGGAAAACTTTTACCCCTAATATCTCTCTGGCAATACTCACATACAAAAGCAATCCCTTTCCCAAACTCTATATTAATTATGCGATTATTAAACTCAATAAAGAGCACACATTCACATGTCGTGCACTACTGATCCAGTCTTACATAAGCCATAATACAGATACAGATATATGAATACTATTAAAACGGTGATCCCTTACCTGACAGCCAGCGTTCACGTCAGCGTAATATCCATAATATGGTTGGGCTTTACATCTGAATCCAGTGTAAGGAATGGTAGAGTATCCGGGAAAGTCGGACCGCAACCACCCGGGAATACCCGGATATGTCGAGTTTCGTATAAAATTTTGCGGCTCCGGTAGTAAAGGCAAAGGAGGCTGAGGTGGTGGACCTATAGGTATCTGTGGGCGAGATGTACGTCTTGGGTATTGAGAACCACCGCCCCCTCCAACACCTCCTTCACGGCCACCACCGCCACCACTGGGTCCATAAGGTTGACCATAATTTTGTCCGTCTCTTAAGCCATAAGTGGGTCCATCACTGCCACCAAAACCAGTTCTTCTAACACCACCACCACTGGGACCATAAGGTCTTTGCAATGGAGTGACACCAATGTTAGGGTCTTCACCACCACCGACATCACCCACACCTACACCACCAATTGGATCATAAGGCAGCAGACCTGCCGGAGATATTCTTCTGGTCACAGAATACCGTTCCTCTCCTTTAGAAGTGGTCGTGAATCGGGTTTTGGTGCCAAACGCCTGGTTCTGGTCACTAAAGTTCTCGACGTTTGCACTGATTTTGTTGAACCTTTTGGGCAAATAATAGGAATAGACTTCATTGACCGGATGGAAGAATGTCTTGAGTCGTGGGGCCGAGTATGCCGTCTGCAGCTCATGTCTCAGTCGATTCAAGTCGTACGAGCGCTGGTAGTAATTGTTTTGTCCCCTTCTCACAGCTCTTCTCTCCTGTTTTTATGTCATTTCATTTGTTTAATTATTTTTATAATCATATAATCATATATTTACTTTTCTAATTTACTTTCCAATCATTTATAAGACTTGTTATAATATGAATGAATATTTTTATATTTGAAAGTTATTAATATAAAGAATATAATTATAATTAGTATTGCTGCAATCATACTTCACTGAAATTTAAATTTTTGAAATTCAAATAAAATTTATTGTAATGTAATAATAAAAATAGCATAATTCTAATAAAGTATAACAACCAAGTAAATATTATGTGACTACAGTATAAATTATTTATTTCACAAATTATAAACAAATAGTTATAAATTTATATCTAGATTAATTTCATAAACTGAATAAAAGCAAGAGTTTTGTGTATACTGTAGTGTACTATTATGTCCTATTATAACATTTTGAAGACCATTATAACCTATATGTTATACATTATATCCTCAACACTATATAACATCTCAAGAAATCGATTTTAGATCAAATAATATTCAATAATACCTTTTAAACGTACTTTA